GAGATCTCATAAAGCACCTGACTGGGTTCCTGGATTCCAGAAGGAGCTCTGAGAATGTTTGTTCCTGGCCCCGCCTCACCCTCCACCTCAATCATATGAGTGTCTGCCCTCTCACTTTGTGGCTCTTTCTCCCTCCTCATCCACAATAAGCTAGAACTAGGCTCACAGAGACATTCTCTCAGGAAACATGGATGACTCCCCTCCACCTTTCACTGGTCCCCTTCATTGTTGGAGTGAGGTGTAGGGAGATTCACACCCATCATCCCATCTCATTTTGCCATGAACACTGTGGAAAATTCTACAATACCAGGTTCCCTTCAAGCTGATAATCAGGGTACATGGGAAGGCAATCCTAAACTCCAGTCCCATCATCGCTTGGCATCAGGCATGTATTATTTGCCTATATAAACATGCATCTGTCCCCTACCTCCACCCCCAGAGGCAATCAAGGGGACTTCCATCCTGGCTGAGGTGAGCCATTTAGAAAGGAAATCTAAGTGGCTGAGCAGATGCCTTAAGTTTAAAGAGCAGATCTTTGTAAAGCACAGCCCTAGTCTTGTCATCTTCTGACTTTAAAAGCTTCCATGACTCCCAGTTAAGGTCTGGCTTCCTTTTCTTTGTGTTCAAGGCCTAAACCTACTGTTGTTTCTCACTGTTATCTTTATATAGACCCTTTGCACCGTAATCAAGTTACTCTCCTTCCCTTCTACCTTCTTCCCATCGCCTCTTCATGTAACAAGTTTTTACTGGTGTTTTCTATGCACTGGACACTGTGCTAGGCACTGGGAAATATGATAATGGGCAAGCCAGGCAGGCCAGTGGGCAGACACAGAAAGTAAACACCGCAGAGCAGGAAGTGTTGCAACAGAGAAAGTACTGGGAGCTATGTGGGGATGCAGCAGGGGTGCCAAACCCAGGCCTGAGGCATCAGGAAAGCCTTCCCGGGGGAGGTGACATGAGGTTAGGCCTAAGGATGAGTGGGAGCTAGTGACACAGGGTGGTAGTGATGGGGAAAAGGGAAGAGTAAAGTATGTGTGCAGGGAGAAGAAAGAGAAGGTGCAAAACTGTGTTCCGGGGAGTGCCATTCAAACAGATTCGCTGCAAATGATGCCCTGAAGTTGTGCAACTCCTCAAACTTGGACAAAAGGTAGAGGCGTGCATCCATGGAAATGAGAGCAGGCCAACACGGCTCTGCAAGACTCGGCAGACTTGGTGAGAAGTTCATGGTAGCACATGAGACTTAAGAAGCAAAGGGGGGATGGGCAGGCTGCTGGAGACCCGGCGAAGGATGAGGCCCTAGGCCCTCTGCCATTCTTCCCTATGTCGTGGGTTCCCATCCCCCGATCTCTCCTTCTCTTCCCACCGGAACTCTCTGGAGCTCCAGAAAGCCTTTCACCTTTCCTCCAGATGAAGTGTGTATCCTGATTATGCACTGGGCTGTCTTCTGTTCTGACAGGTCCCCAGTGCCTTGCTTAGAACTCTGTGTGACTGTCTCCCCTCCCGCCAGCAACTTTGGGACCATGTCTCTCACTGTTTGTATCCCCCTCACCTTCTAGCCTAGTCAGTGGGTATTTAGGAAGGGTTTGTGGAATGAAGCAGTATTTGCCATACTCTGCAATGCCGCACTGCTCTTATGAGAGCCTAGTGTCCTCACTCTCTATATACATATTTATACATAGAGCATCTAATGCTTGTTAGGTGCTTACTGGCTGCCACACCGTTCTCAACGTGTTCCTTGTCTGGACTCCTTTAATCCTCAAAGCAACCCTGTGAAATAGATGTTCGTTTTTTAGTTTATCTTTTAATCTCCTTTATATAGATGAGGAAATTGAGGTACAAAGGGTAAAGTGATTTGCCCAAGGTCACTACTACTGAGCTAACAAGTAGTATAGCTAGAATTCAAATGGGGGATCTGGCTCCAGAGCCCAAACTCCTAATATCACCCTGCTTTGCTTCTGTAGTTGCCAAATTTGTACAGCAATGCATTTTATTATATGTGTTTCGAGCACTAATGTACTATATATATTACAAAATATATACAAAATAGATATTAGAAAAGGGGATTAAAATAAATATTTCTTTTTTTAATGTTTATTTTATTTTTGAGAGAGAGAGCATGAGCAGGGGAGGGGCAGAGAGAGAGACACGCACAGAATCCAAAGCAGGCTCCAGGCTCTGAGCTGTCAGAGCCCAATGTAGGGCTCAAATCCACGGACTGCGAGATCATGACCTGAGCCAAAGTTGGACACTTAACCGATGAGCCAGCCAGCCGCCCCCCATAAAATAAATATTTCTATATTTTCTTGTGCCCAGGGGGTGGTTCTGTGTACCCTACATTGGGACCACATGAATTAGAAGAAGCTGATGCGTACGAGGAAGGGAATTAACATGTTTCCAACAATATCTGTACTTCACAGAAACATCATGAGTTATTGTACACCTACTAAGGGCCTGGCACTTTGTTAGGTGCTTTGAGTGTTAGGTTATGAATATTCAGAGCAATGCTGAGACCCCAGGTGAGGGAGACCTGGAGGTTGGATGGAAGGCAGAAGAAACAGGCATGAGGCCCAGGAGGGCACTGTGTTGTTCCCAGCCTTGGGTCTCTGAAGTTTGTGATGGAACAATTTACTTAGTTCTGGAACTATTTATTTCATAAAGCCTGACAGATGTACTTAGGAAGAGGCTGTAACTAGCCCCCCTAGAACAACATATCGTGTTTCTCAACTTTTGTCTGAAATTCTAACAACTCAGCATGGTATGATACCGGCTATCCCGAGCTCATCAGAAGCTCTGATTGGAGATTATAAGATGTCTTTGACTAATAAAAGAGGAGGAAATGAATGTATATTTGCTTAATAAATGCAGCCTGCTAGATAAAATCTTTCTAAAACTGGGACTGCAAAGGAAGCAGAATCATGAATGAGGTTCTTGGTGCCGGGGGATGGGCGGCGGGGGGGGGGGGGGGGGGGGGGGGGGATTCATTCAATTGAATGAGCATTTGGTAAGCACTGACCCTGGGCTCCTACTTGCTCATGCATACTGCGTGCTCAGATATGGTATCCTTAGTCCTCACAACAACTGTGTGAAAGGGGAGAGGTACCCAGCTTACAAACAAGAAACTGGAAGTCATTTTCCCAAGATCATACAGCTAATAGGAGGCTAGGTCATGAAGGATACCCCGATTCTGTTGAACTCCACAACCTACTCCAAGAATGTACTGTCCCCCAAGAATATGCCCTATACTTTTATGTGGGAGACAACTACAGATAACTGCAAATACAGTATGGCAAATGTGATACCAGAACTCAAGTCAAAGCTGGATCAAGTCAAGGCTGATCACCTTAGCATGCTGTGTAGTAAGTGGTGTCCATGAAGGTTCTCACAAGGTGAATTGGGAATCCTTGGTTCGGATGATTTTGAAGAGAATCCTAGCCTGGATGTTTTAGGTAAAAAAACCAGAACACAGAGCCATTCAGAGGTTGCACCATGGTCATTGATCCCGGCTATCTCAACTGCTCTTACTGAATTTCTACCATGAACCAGATGGTGTATACAGCACATCTGTAAAATGTCATCACACGTGGTTAGGCTCAGGGTTTGACATAAGAGTCATGAAAACTACAGAATCCTGCAGGATTTGGTGGCTGTGACCTGAGAGAGCTTCTCTTGGTAGACCACAAAAAGCTTCCCCTCCCCCCAACAATTAGCTGGTCTCTGTGCCACCTCTCCCTTAAAGCTCTGCCAGATTTTATGATGACTTATCCGGGCTACGTTATGTTTCCTAAGGTTCAGCCTCTTTGCAAAGCTGGGTAGATCGGATTATGTTTTAAGGCTTCTCTCAGTCAAGGTGGAAGAAAAGAAGCAGCCCTTGCCGTCAAGTGGATGCATTGTCTTGTACTGTATACTGTTATCTGTCTGTGCTTATGTTCCCTCTCTTGTGGATGATGTACTGCACATGTCTGAAGGCCAGCCACAGGTAGAACTGCAAATTGCCTGATCTCAAAGCTCTTTTCCCAGGCCATCACCTTCTCCTTCTGAAGAGTTGGGAATGTGCTCACAAAACTGGGGTTTTAGAATCTTACGACCCTGACATGTTAGAAACTTGGAGTCAAAATACACTGACTCATTGTATCTTGGAACTCATAGAATATTAGTGCCCTAAAATTATAGAATTATCTTAGATGGTTAGAACTTGAGGATCCTAATATGTTAGACACCTGCAACTCTCCCATCCAGCAAATATTTCATTAGCGCCTACTGCATGCCAGGCGCTGTGCTAGACTCCAGGGATAAAGAAGTGAAAAAGACTGCTAATGCTCTTGCTCTCAGGGAGTTTGCAGAAAATGGCAGGATTTAAGAATCTTAAAATGTCAGATTCTTAGAAAAAGTAAAATAGTGTGTTAAAATCTTAGAATGCCAGCGGTGGAGGCAGCCCGAGGTCATTCTCTCCGGCTCTATCTTTTATGAGACCTAGAGCCTTTTCCAGGCATGTCCGATTAAAAAAAATCTCACTAATGAGAACATCGTTTCACTTGAGTGACATCACAGAATGGCCAGCTTGCAGGAACTCAGCGATCACCCAGTGTGGCTGCTCATTTTACCAGCGGGGCCACTGAGGCTCAGAGCGGGGTTGCTGTTTGATAGATAGCACAGCCACCCAGAACCAGACTCCAGGTTTTCAGGCCTCTCTCAAAGAACAGGCAAAGCGGGTAGGGCTTCCCGTGTGTAGGGCTTCCCGTGTGTTTCCGCGGGCTGCCCTGTTGGCAAGCCGCGCAGACTTTTCTGCGCCTAGGCCCGGCTCTGCAGAAGAAGTTTGCACCAACTACCTTTGCGGAGGCATCAGCCCCGCCCCCCGGACCACGTGTGCAGTAGATCGCCCCCTGTTGGGAGCCCCTCCCCCGTTGATGCGTGTTTTATTTTGCTCCCTCCCCCTCCCCGTGTGCCTCGAAACCAATTTTCATTATTTTTTTTCTGTCTGTGTTTGTCTTTGTGGTTCGCAGGTGCTCCCTTGCATTGTTCATCCGCTTCATCAACCCCTATTGAGCAGTCCCCCTCCCCGCCCCCCTCCCCTCCGGCCAATGAGAGCCAGAGGCGGTTGCTAGGCAGCGGTGTGGCCCAGCCAACCCCGGACTCAGACTCTGAGGAAGAGTTTGTCCCTAATTCATTCTTAGTTAAAAGTGGCTCCGCCAGCCTGGGGGTCGCGGCAAACGGTAAGTCCCTCTCTCTTCCTAACTTCTGTGGGTTTTTTGTTGTTTTTTTCCCTTTCGTTGGTGATGCTGATTAATCTGCCTGCTTGGGCCGCTTGCAGGGGCGGAGGGGCCTGGTGCATGGGGGGCTCGGGGTTTTTGGGGACCTGGTTCGGCTCCGCAGCTCAGGCAGCGCGGCTCCTGCCCCGCTGCGCCGCTGGGATGTGCGGGGGGGGTTGTGAGGGGATTGCTGTCCCCATTCCCATGACAAACGTCTGGATAGAGCTGCAGGGACAGAGATGCACAGACAGACCCGAGACAGAAGCCTCAGGTGGAGACCAAGGCAGGCAAAGCCACAGAAACAAAGATCCAAACAGAAAAAGAAAAGAAAGGCTAAAACAAAAATAGCACCGATTGGCCACCTACTCTGTCCAGGACTGTGCCACCACCACTTGTTGCTTTGCTGGATTCTCCTCACAACCCAGCCTAAGAAACTGGTGTTATAGTGTCCCCATTAACCATGAGAAAGCTGAGAGAAAGGATACCACCTGGAGCCCAGCACTGGCTTTGAAAGTTCTTGACTTTCAAACTGCCAGGAGAGAGAGGGCCCTGAAGCCCCGAGCTGCTGCAGGGCTGAATGCTGGTTGCAGGGAGAGCCGCTGGGCACAAGCATGGATCTGTCCATAATGAACACTATTCGTCTTCGTGGTGCCCTGACTCTTACGGAGAAGAGGTATGGGAGGGTATGGTGGAAGAGCCCTACGTAGACTTAGAGCTAGCAGCCCCAGGTTTCAGCACCTGGTCAGGTGCTGTGTGACATGGGTCAAGGTCTTGCCCTCTCTGTGTCCAGCAGAGGCCAGTCTACTTCTTTGCAAGGATGCCTAGAAGCCTCCAAGAGAGGGAATAATATACAGCCTCTACGCTCTTTGAAAATCAGACAGCAGGTCTTTGGACTTAGTGGTTCTCTTCTGCCAAAATCTCAGGCCCTACATTCTCTGTAACCAAAAGCCAAACCATCCTCCGGGGACTATTTGACCTTTGTGCTCTCTGAGAGTGACATTGTCCTTTTGGTGGTTTGGTGTCACTGTTTCTCTATACATTTTACCTGCTCATGTTTTAAACTATGCACAGAAACAGGAACCCTGGACTAGGAGGTAGGAAACCTGTGCACAAGACCAGCTCTGTGGCTCCCTGGCTACTAGTCCTGGGCAAATGACTGTCTCTCTCTCTCGGCATCAGTTTCCCATCTTGCCAGTGAAGGAGCAATCTCTAAGGTACTCTGAATATATGAATGTCATGTGGTACTGAGAGAGGTGTGCCAGCCAGTAGCTTTCTTAAGCTTACTTGCAAAAAAAAAAAAAAAATACACCCACACATACACACACGTACGATGATATTTTTTGTTCATTTCTGGGTAAATAAGCCTTGCAGGTAAAAGAAAAGGCAGGAGATTAAAGTCTTTAATCTCTCCCTTTGCTAAATAACTGAACAAGAAGAATCACTTTGTTGTAAGTTCTGCAGCAAATTGATAGCATTAGTGCATTATTGATGTGCCAGGAAGATGGGGGAACTTTGGCCTACAAGCTTTCTGCTCAGTTCTGCTCCTCTGTGCTCTTCCTGCCTCCAGGGGACCTGGAGACACTTCTGATTCCTTCTCTGGGGTTTCGCTCTGAGTGTGTCACTAAAGGTTGGTTATCAATGTGTCCCTTGACCAAAGGGAGAGTCTGGGTTTTTAGTAGCCTGCTGCTCTGGGTTGGTGGGTCATGAGAGAGCCAGTGAGTCTCACTCCACAGCTGGACCCTGCCTGCTACCTTCCTGTCCCCCTGAAACCCTAAACTGAGCGGTCTTCTATGAGCATAAAGGACTTGCTGATACTGCCGTAAACCCAGCACTAGTGCGTGGAGACGACTGGACCCTGCCACGTATTGGACCCGATATATGTTTTGAAGGTTTTGTTTGATTTGTTTTCATGAAAGAAATGTGAAGTTATTTTAATAGGATTATCTTTATTGTTTTGTCGATTATAAAAGTAACGATGCTTGTTAACATTCAGACAATACAGAATGGTAAAAAGCAAAGTTCTCTTGTAATCCCTCCTCCCAGAGGTAACCACTTTTAACAGTTTGGTGCATGGCCTTAGAGGCACTTTTTGTGCAGTGCTGACTTAATGAGCAAATAAATGAATGAGCAAGAGATACAAACTCTTTGAGGACCAAGTGCAGCCAAGAAAGCAAGGACCATGGGGTCCAGCTTTCTGAAATGAGGTCCCAGATATGTGACCCTGGGCAAAGTACCTAACCTCCCAGACCATCAGTTGCTTTATCTGTGATATAGGGAAAAGCTTCCAAGGTTGCTATAGAGTTTAAGAATGGTGAAGGTGGGGCGCCTTAGTGGCTTAGTCGGTTAAGTGTCTGACTTCGGCTCAGGTCCTGATCTTATGGTTTGTGAGTTCGAGCCCCATGTCGGCCTCTGTGCTGACAGCTCAGAGCCTGGAGCCTGTGTCATATTCTGTGTCTGCCGTCTCTCTCTCTTCCCCTCCCCTGCTCATGCTCTGTCTCTCACTGTCTCTCAAAAATAAATCGATGTTAAAAAAAAAAAAATGGTAAAGGTGGGGTGCCTGGATGGCTCAGCTAGTTAAGCACGGGACTCTTGATCTCAGCTCAGGTCTTGATCTCAGGGTCATGAATTCAAGCCCCAGGTTGGGCTGCGCGCTGGGCATGGAGCCTACTTGAAAAAAAAAATTGGTGAAGATGACAGACGTCCCTCTTTCCCTTCCCTATGGCCACAGCCCCATTCCCTTGCAGCGATCGAAGACTTTAGAGACCACCCTAAAGGGATGAATTACTGAAGCTCTTTCTGAGGCAGGCTTCCCCAGACACTTAATTCCCAATGTACTTTAAATGACAAAGGCAGCCCCTCGGGCTCCTATCTGGGGGGGGGGGTGGGGAAGGGAGCGGCTTCCTTTGGTGGGAGCTGACTCAGCGCCCTGCACTGGAGGGCGCAGGAGGGCTGACCCTCTGGAAAGCAGCCTCCCCGGGAGCTCGGGCTGCTCGCTCCAGGGGCTCCCCAGAGGCCCTCTGCCTACAGCTGTGTCAACTCCAGCACAGGGCTGTGGTCTCAGGGCCGCGACGCCTCAAAGCTGCCCTGCCAAAATCCCCGTGTAAAGTGCAAGGCGAACGCGTGGGGCATTACAGAACAGCTCATTGTCCCTGCACGAAAGAAAACAGGCGAAGGAGCTCTTTCTGTCATCAAAGTCCTAATCCGCCCCCAAGGACAACCATCTAGAAAACACTGATATCTATAAAGAAAGATTGCGCTCAAATATCAACTCATCACAGCTGAAAAGCTAAGGAGGTGGTTAGGATTAGGTAGGTATTTGTCCCTACCCCAGAGAAACTTTTTAGAATAAATATTAAGTGTTCCGTGAATTGTCATAATCTAAATTCTGAAGTACAGAGACTTTTAAAACCTGGAGGGTAATATTTAAGAGGGTCAGGGCATAAAAACTCAGAGAAAGATGTCAGTTTCTCAAAGCCAAGGGGAGGTAGAGGTGGAGGGAGAATTGACATACAATGAGCACCTTCTGTGTGTAAGTCTTTCTCTACATGCATTAACTTATTTGAGCTTCCATTTATTTCTATTTTTCTGCCGGGAAACTGAGGCCCAGCAAGGGCCAGTAACTTGCCCATAGCTCCACTGCTTCGCAGGGGCATGTTAAAGATTTCAGATCCAAGCCTGCTTGATTCCAGAATCTCCTGTCTTCTTCCTCCTACCCGGCCCCCATTTGTTTTGATTTGTTTCCAATGCCAGGTCCCATTATTTCTGTGCATCCTCCTTAGCAGGAGACTGGAGAAGAGAGAGGAATTCCACCAAAAAAAAAAAAAAAAAAAAAAAAAAAAAAAAAAAAAACTTAAAGTTTTTTTTTTAATGTTTATTTATTTTTGAGAGAGAGAGAGACAGAGCGTGAGCATGGGAGGGGTAGAGAGAGAGGGAGACACAGAACCTGAAGCAGACTCCGGGCTCTGAGCTGTCAGCACAGAGCCCGACGCGGGGCTCGAACTCACAAACCGTGAGATCATGACCTGAGCCGAAATCAGCCGCCCAACCGACTGAGCCACCCAGGCACCCCTACTTAAAGATTTTTATGAGAATTTTTTAAAAAGAATTACAAGCGGGGTGCCTGGTGGCTCAGTCAGTTAAGTGTCTGCCTTCAGCTCAGGTCATGATCTCACAGTTTGTGAGTTCAAGCCCGGCATCAGGCTGCCTGCTCTTAGCACAGAGCCTGCTTCAGATACTCTGCTCTGCTCTTTCTGTGCTCCTCCCCCACTCCCTCTCTGTCTGTCTCCAAATAAATAAACTTTTAAGAAAAAAAAAAAAGAACTACAAATTGTTAGATTCCTATTGCTTCACAAATCTTTATGAAGTACCTGTGACAGGTGTTTAATCCCATTGAAGTTTGGAATCTCATTGCATCACGTTGAATCTCATTGAATCTTCATATCTATCCTGTGATGTGAAGATTTTTAGTCTCATTGAGGCCATAGAGGACCAGAGAGGTTAAGTAACTTCCTAAATCACACAGCTTCTAACTGATAGATTCGAACCTCAGGTCTGTCTGATACCATAGAGTAGCATCTTTCAGTTGTGTTTTTGTGAGGACACTGAAGTTTCAAAGATGAGTAAGTACAAATGACTTAGACATTACATTTTAGTGCTGCTTCATGAGAGATAGCCCTGGATGCTAGGCCATCCATGGCCTTTTTTCCCCCCCTTTTCTTTTCTTTCCCCTCTTCCCCATACTCTGCCCTGGGCCCTTCCCACCTCTCCTTACAAATTTCTCAGGCTGGTCACACTGGTCAACATCACTGTTGTTTGGCAGTTTCATTGACTTTCTCAGGTCTTAAGCAGCTGGGATTATTTTGTTTTGACTTCCAACCCAGTGGAGGAGTGTTTATTTTTCTTTCTGAATGGGAAACACTGCTACGTATGCCAGCTCCTTCCAAAAGTGTTTTCTTAAAACGAAA